CTATGCCCATTGCCCTGGCAATCCAGATGATTTGCCCTGCCAATCCAGCTTTGGGGGGGGGTCACCCCCCCAACGCTCAAGTTTTGTCCCTGATTATTGGTCATGTATATTAACCATTAATTATGGTACAATGTATAAGCTGTGGGCCGTTGTGTGAAAAAGTGCTTAGTGCTTAATTTTGTGGCAACCCCCTGGGGAATAGATTTTCTGTTCTTCAATTCATAGTACCATAGATGCTTAATTACCACAAAAAGTTCCCAAGCAAAAAACTTGCCAAACACCGAGAAAATGGGTGATCAGTGATTATCCTCTATTAAATTGTATTAAAGCAAGAAAATGTGAAATTTTGTATTCAATTACAACAAAAATTACTTGCATCATCAGAAAGGTTACAAAAATCTACATATAAGACATTTAAACAGTTTTTTTATATCTCAAATTGTTTTCGAGTTATATGCTGTCAGAAACGCGTTTTTTACCTAGTACTCAGTCCTTATTGTGACATTTTAGTTCAATTTCACATTTGAAACAGCAATAACTCAAAGACAAACCGTTTAAAAGTCCTATATTCGGTTTTTTGTAAGCTTTCTCGTGATGCAAGTTATTTTTGTTGTAATTGACCACAAAATTTCACATTTGCTTGCTGTAATACAATTTAATAGAGGATAATCACTGATCACCCATTTTCCCGGTGTTTGGCAAGTTTTTTGCTTGGGAACTTTTTGTGGTAATTGAGCATGCGGTAATCTATGGTACTATGCATTGAACCACAAAAAATCTATTCCCCATGGGGGTTGCCACAAACCGAAATAATTTTGGCCCACGGCCTAGTACGCTTGTAATTCACTTAATGCTGAATAAATAATTTTACTTTATCAAGAGGAAACAGTTGCATGATTGTGCCTAAATGATTAGTAAGTGATTTGTACATTAAAACTCTATCTCTAGAATCTGTAAAAACAGTTTTATAACTTTTATATTAAGTTCATCACAAGTTCATATTTTCTGTGTGTTTGTAGATGAAGAACATAATAGCAATGGCAATTTGGAAAATAATACGAATGGCTTTGGTAAAATCTTACATTACCGTACTCTGCACAGGTATATGAACATGTATAGCGCTGAATATGTACGGAAACTTAAAAGAGATGAGAAAATTCAAAAATCAGTAGCGCTACAACCTGGTGTTACTGGTTATACTAAAAGTGGCAACACAAGAACTAAATCATCGACATCCAAAGCCTTACCAACAGTCACTGAAATCATAAACGATCCTCTTCCTAAGAGCTTCACTCACCATTCTATGAAGGCACATGCATATAAGGGCCATGAAGTATTTAAACACTTTACGCATAAAGAGTTAAAATTCATTTTCCAGGGATACGCTGTTCCTTATCCAAAGAATAGAAAGGAACAAAATTGTATTATTCTAACTGATATTTGGAAAAAAAGTGGTGACGCAATGCCATATCCAGCAAAATTATCACAAGAAATGTTTGACAGCATAGCAAAAAATGCTTCGCAAGAACAAAATAATGAACCGAATGAATTACATGGTCAGCAAAATGATCATACAGTGACAACGACCGAAGTAGAAGAGCAACATACGACAACAACAAACAAAAACGGTTAGCATTTTTCTTTTTTACAAATGGTTTTCGATTGAATAATGAAAATCATGCAACGTGCATATAAATTTATAAACATTTATGTATATATACACTGTAAGCACATATTAAAAATGTTGCATCTTTTGTATGGACAGTAATATTTCTTGTATATCTTTCAGCACCACAACAGCAAAAGAAGAAAAGAAAGTGTGGATATTGCGGTCAAGAAGGTCATCGGAAAAAATACAGAGATAAGTTGACATGTCCCCAGTATGTTAAAGATACACAAGCACAGGAAATGCTGTCAATCGCTTAATGCCATCTATCGATGATTTGTTTTCCGTCGGCGTTTCAGCTCGTAGCAATTGGTATAATGTGACTCGGTATACTGTGACTCGGCCTTTATTGGCTTTAATGTTTTATTAAGTCGGACTCACACGATGCGATTTTGTCGGCCGATTTAACGGTCGATTAACATGTGCGGTATGTATTATTAAGCGATTTTCGTCGGCCAATTAAAATTGGGCAATATCAAAATTGTCCGATTGTTATACACTGATTAAAATCGACCATCTAAAAGCGTATCGTGTGTGCCAGGCTTTAGACATGTTCAACACCTGATAACACTTGGTAACATACAGTTACCCTTGTGTTCTTTTATATTTTTCATCTGTACTATTGCTGGAGTTGCGTGTTCTATAAAAAATAAAGAAGCAATAAATTAAAATATTAAACCGAAAATTATAGTGATAAAAGCAACATAATGATTAAGCTAATATATTCTACAAACTGAAACATCGAAATTCGTAAGTGAAACCAAACAATAAATAGCTATTTGATAACATTCCCTTCCTCATGTTTTGGTACATTTTAACAACGCACGTAAAATGAAGTCTGGTTCACACTGGTCGTAAGAATCGGCGACGTTTTTATACCGACAGCCAAAGTCCGTATGGTAGGAGAAATTCATAAAGGCTGATTGCATGATTCACACTACCGACCGAGTACAGTACTAGTGAATCCGACTAATCGTAATATTTTACCATCGGCGACAGTCATAGTTATTATGACAAGTGTGAACATACAAAGTGGTATATCCCATTTGTGCAATGCTTCGCACAAGTCGGATTTCACGTTCGCACTTGTCATAAGTGACTTGTGAAAGTTGTTACAGCAATTGTAATGTTCTACCTGTCTGAAGTACTGTCGGATTATCCGCTTGACCATTCTGAGCGCGTTGTTCACCAAAGAAATTTTCAAGGGCATCTTGATTTAAAAGAGACACGCTAACTTGACACCCTGGGAATTTAGTTAGTAAAGTTTTACAAAAAGACTTGAAGCCAATAATCATTGAGAAAACATCAAATTTTGTTTTAAAACTGAGGAATCACCGATTTCTTTCTTTTGGCTTAAGTTGAGAGTTGGATTTCACATCATCTTCCCAGCTTTGGAACCATGCCATACAATTGTCGTTTTCAAAAAGGCGCGGATCATCAAGTGACCTATTGCAAATAAAATTATTAATTAATGTTTATTATATAATTATATTTACTTCACAGTCGTACAAGTTTTGCAGCGAACATATGCAAAACACAAAAGCTTGAACAGTTGCACTTAAAATGTACAAGCACTTTATTGCTTAAAAGTATTACCTACTGTACCTGTAGGGTGATTTTGCCTTAAAGTTTTTAAGCAATGTGCGTGTTGTTTCAATAAATTTGATTGTCTTATCGAGGAATGATGCACTCGTTTCTGATACTTGCTCCCGGTGACGCTTGTAATTCTAAAATTTGAACATATTTATATATATATTGTTATACAGTCTTATAGTCTATCGACGCACACGACAGAGAACATTACGTCATTTGTTGGACAATGCCCAATAGACGTACGTCGTCTCTGGTTAGGTATAAAATATAAGATACAAACTTGTTGATTGGCTAACGACATACACACAACAAACACAACGCACTCACACACTCGATAGCATCATGTACAATAGTGAACGCTTACAATGGAAACACCTATAACTTCATTAATAGGTCAAAATGTGTATAGGTCAAATTATTACCTTAAGAACTTCCAACATACGTTTGCCCAAAACATCATCTGCTAAGTAATTTCTCATCTCACCGGCACTGCTTGGATCAAAATGTTCTGGGGTTAGAAACTTGAAAGTTGCAGTTGGGTTTGTATCCACATCATAAATAAATGCTTCTTTCAAATGAGACCACAGCATCTGATAACCACAAAACTCAAAAAGTCGTGGAGATTTGCCAGTAGTACTTTTAAGTAAGTTGTTTCGTAGCTTCTTGAAGTTGTGCTAAATAATTTTATAAAGAACATTGTTAATATTGTACAGTTTTTATAGTTCTTGTCGTGTGTCGCATACTTTTGTTGATCTTATTTATTTTGTATGAAAATTTGGGCATGAATGACCCTGATCTGATGTTATATTAAATATGATTGATGCATACTAAATTTGCATAGGTTAATGCATGCGAATTAGTTCTGTTAGGTAAAGGAATGATTAAAATTATGAATACTTCATCAATAAATAGCCAGGGCCATCTAGAGTCGAACAGGAGCCCGGAGCAAACAATAATTTTGGGGTCAACAAAGTTTTGAATAGAACGTCTCAGGAATGGAAAAATCCTACATTATGGGAGACTATTCCAATTCCAATTTCATTTTTTCTTTATTTGGTCCTCGTCCAACTTGGGGCCTGGGGGCAAATTATCCCCTTTGCCCCTCATCTGGACAGCCCTATCAATAAATACTCAACCTGGGTGCAACTTACTGATGGATCAACCATGAAAATCATTGGTTCTCCAGTATACAAATTTGTGGTAGTGAAGTTTTCCTTTATGATGTCCAAGTTGTCAAAATGGTACTTTATAAAAGAACGATTGGCTTCGGCTCCATCACAAATACACAAATTAATGTCAAAGCCATATTCATGTAAGTCAAAAACAACATCCCAGAAAGTATGATATAAGGTGGCTGCATCAACTTCGACTGTCGGAAAATAGCAACATGGGAATTTGAATCCCGTTGAACCAACAAACATAAACTGAAGAATATGGCTTGCAACTGCACTTCTGTCTTCACCTTAATTAGAAACATAATTTCCAATTAATAATTACAATTAATTATTAATAATCCATAAACCTCAATGTGGCAAATCATGTCAGCCATAATATGTCACGTGGAGTGACTTGTGTTTTAAATAGTACTTAATATACTTTATCTATATACAGGGATGTCGTCAATGGGTTGTGTGGGAAGTGTAACACCCCTGGAAACTCTGGCAAAATTCAAGTAAAAATTTTGACAGTTTCATGTAAAATCTGCGTAATAAAGTAATCATTTTTGTAAAATGTAGTCAATTTACATCCAATTCGTTTGCGAATGTGCTTTAGAAATTAAAATGCCAGAATTGCAATCATAGAGCTTCAAAATGTAAAAGATTTTATGGAGGAGAACCCACAGCCCCCCCCCCCCTTTTCACCCGAAATGTAGTATGACAGAGCAAATTAATCACAAAAGCTTTATTATAATTAGTAATTAGTACACTTCAGATAAATTTATAACATTGAAGTTCGAATTTCAGTTAAAATTATCCGACACCCCTAACCCCAACTTCAGATGCTTCGCTACGTCTCTGTTTATATAACATAAATTAAATTAAATCAATAAAACATATACAATTTGAAGAGATCAGACAGATCTAGAAAAACATATAAATAAAATTAAATTATAACTGTACAATATACCATTATTTACCTGTTTGGAGCACTTGAATATTGTTGTATACTTCACCAAGATTTACTAAACCAACAATTTCAAATGAGTCACCTGTCCTCCTGAGTTGAACATCATCCTAATTAGCATAAACCATAACTAAACTCAGTATTTATAAGTGTCTGTAACATCCTTCTTCAATCTTTGGAAAATTCTAACATACCTGAATAGACATTTCATCAAAAAGGATGCAGCCACAATATCCAACTGGAGATAACTTAGCTTCATCTGCCATTTTTTTCATTAGAACCAACATTTCTTTATTTGTACCAGGTCTCTAAAATATTTGATGATTAAGTATGATTCAGTAATAGCTGAATGATATAATTTTATGGCATACATATATATGAAGTACTATTAGTAATAAAGCTAATTGTCTCTTAATGGACAACTTGCATGTTAGATTTTTTATCTAAGTAAAGAGGGAATCAAACACCACAGTTAAAAAAGGAAAATAATGAAATTAGTAAAATTGCAAAATTTTGTTGCGAAATGTTGTAAAGCTTGGAAAATACAGCCTTATAATTGCAAAGTTTCCAATTTGTATTACGTGCAGAAATTGTTACCATTTTCAGTTAAAAAATGGTAACAATTTCTGCACTAAATACAAACATACTGAAAATATGCAAACTTCGCAAGGCTATATATTTTCCGTATTTCACAAAAATTAGTCCAACATGCAAGTTGTCTATTGGTTATACTTATGCATCAGTGCAAATTCTATAACTGTTTTACTTTTGCTTTGTAGTACTGCAGTAAACGTTTAGAAGGTAATTCAATAAATCCAGATTCTGCAAGAGTCTGATAAGCATTCTTGGAACGATGCCATACAGCAAGACATGTTTTAATGACCCTATTAAATAGATAAAAAATCAGCCAAATTATATGTACTGTACAATACTCTACAATATTTTATACTAGTATAATACTATTATATAATTTTTTACTACTATAATAATATTATATAATCAATAAAGTGCTTTGATGAACTGTTTGATCTCCTTAATAAATGGCATGTAGTATATATAAATAATATAATGTAATTTGATGTGATGTATACGGTAGATGTTGAAACACAGGCAAATGTTAGAAGTACAAATAATTATCACACTTACATAGGATTGGCATCTGATTTGTCTCCTGTTTGTTGATTTACTTATTACATCTTTCTGAAGTTCCCAAAACATAGCCATTTCAGGGTTGTCTACAAAAGGCTGTTCTTTATTAATGGTTTCAAACATCACTAGTAAGTCCTGGTTGTCTTGTTCAGCCAATCTTCTCATATTCTTTTCCTCCAAAGCTTTCAATTGCCAATATTTTCCTCTTTGCTCAGCATTTACTCTTCTTCTTTTTTGATCTTGTTCACGTTCAATTATCTGATCAATTGTAAGGAACCTCTTATTTACCTTACTCCCAGAGTTGGTAAAGTCGGTTTGTTTTTCACTTTTGTTTAATCTCGAAAGCTGTGCACTTATATGTTTACGCAGATTGCTGCAATGATTACAAGACTTTGCATAAATACCATGAGTAATCAAAACAGGACAAGATACAGATCTTCTACATCCTGTTAATGGGTCATACTGCCCAACAACACTCCCGCTGATATTTTTAGTAACTGGAGGAAGCACATTGTAATCCATATATTTAATACCATGACATATATGAAGGTTTTCGGTAAATGACAGAATATGAATAAGGTCATTAAGACAGGTTATTTTGTCTGGAGTTCCATCTTGCAAAGAAGAAGTGTCCAACATGTTTATTTATTTATTTATTTATTTTATTTAAAATGCTTTGCCATTACAAACAATACGAATTTACGATACTGACAATACATACACTAATACATGGCTGGGTTATCATCACAGCTCCGTAGGATAATATCCACGGGAGCCAATTACGATGAGCCCTGATATACTTCTAAGTTACATCACTGGTTACATTAGTTAAAAACAGCACGGTTTTTGGAGAACGTGTGCTAGTTCTCTGTTCACGTGACATTTCACGCAGTTCGACTTTAAAGTTACAGCATTGTCGGGATCGTAGACATCTCTAAGTAGCCCGTTATATTTCCTCGTGAGACTACGTTTAAAAGTAGCAGCACTTTGAGACAAGTCCCTTTCAACTGGTGTTAGACTGTTCCATATTCTACTTGTGCGGACAAAAAAACTGTTCTGGAATGATACTGTTTTAGCACGAGGTATCTCGGCGAGAACACCTGACTGAGGGTTATTATGACGCGAAATACGAATTTGTTGTTTAATTTGGACCAAGCCATTATTGTCGAGAAAAATTTCTCCCTTTAATGTACGAAAGTAAAAAACCAAGTCAAGAATTTCTAGCCAGTAAGTAAGTGGTAAAAGGCCGAGCTTTAACAGCCGTGTTTGGTATGAAACCTTTGTGCGAAACGGTAGTTTCAGTAAAAATTTTGTTGCACGCCTTTGTACCCTTTCCATCATGTTTATGTATTTGATTTTCTGAGGAGCCCACAATTGGGATCCGTACGAAAACAGGGATCTTACCAGACTGGTGTAGAGAGTGCGACGCGCGTTTAAGCTACCAATTTCCGCAGAACAACGGCGGATGTACCCAAGTGTACGGTTTGCCTTAGAGCATACAGTAGCCACGTGACTTGACCATTCCATAGAGCTGGTTGTCAGGATTCCGAGATCCTTCTGTTCGTTGACTTTTCGTAGCTCGGATCCATTAAGTGAATATGATTGAATAATTGGATGGTGCTTTCTGGTGAATGACACTATGGCACACTTTGTCTCGTTAAAGTCCATGTTCCATGACTTAGACCAAGATGACAGATTGTCTAAGTCAGATTGTAAAAGGAGCGAGTCGTTTAACGATTTTATGACTCTGAAACATTTACTATCATCAGCATACAACGCCATCCCAGAGTCCCGATGGACCACTTCAACAATATCATTGATGTAAATCAGAAATAGTATGGGACCCAATATAGAACCCTGGGGTACTCCAGATAGGACAGGTAAGGGCATTGAGGTAGCCCCTAATACTGTGGTCTGCTGGGAACGATTCGAGAGATAGTCCTTTAACCAGTCATGTAGTTTACCAGTTATACCGAATAGTTTAAGCTTGAATATAAGTTTATGATGGTTCACAGAGTCGAAGGCCTTGGAAAAATCTAGGAATACCATGTCAGTTTGTATGCCGGCATCCATAGCTTCTTGAATTTTATGATAAACTGAGAGTAGTTGAGACGTTGTTGATCTACCTTTGAGGAAGCCGAATTGAAGGTTGGACAGATTACTGGCTATGTGATCAATGATCTTGTTGAGAATACACCTTTCAAGCAACTTCGACACCAGGGAAAGCAGGGAAATAGCCCTATAATTTTCCACTTTTTCAGCGGGGGCTTTCTTTAATAAAGGCACGATGTTAGCTAGTTTCCATTCCGTTGGCAGAGTGCCCGATTGCAAGGATAAATTAAATAAATCTGTTAGAGATGGAGAAATTTGTTCAGCACACTCCACTAAAATCTTTGCTGGAATCTTATCCGGCCCTTGAGCTTTACTGCTGTCTATGGTCTTTATTGCTGCTAAAACGTCTACAGAATCCAGAGATATCTGTGACAGGGATGGAATTGGGCTGGAGGGGTGATAATGTTGGTCGTTGGAGTGAACCTGTGGATTACCAACTTCAGGAGTTGAGTAGGACGAAAAGATTAAACGTATCAGCAACTAGGTTTGGACCCTCGGTGAATTTACGACCACCTGCTCCGTCATCGATAGAAACTTTCTCTGGGATGGTGTGTTTCTTTGTTTTCTGGCTAAAGATAGTCCAAAACCTTTTCGGGTTCGAGTATAAAGACTCAACCAACGAAGTATAATATTCTTTACGCTTTCGAGAAATGAGCTTTTTGATACGGGATCTTAGTTCTTTAAATCTCTCCCAGTGAATCGATAGTTGCGTAGATTTAGCCTTGATTCTTGCACTAGCTTTTTTCCTTACCAAGTGAATAATTTCGCCTGATATCCAAGGTGGAGAACTCTTACTCTTTAATTGAATTTTAGGGATATATTGATCGATCATGGATTGCAAAGATGATTTCCAATTATACCAAACATTAATGTCAACGATTTCATTTAATTGTACATCAGATGTGAGAGACTTGACAGACTCTCTGAG